AAGGAAGTAACAAAGTACCATGAAGATCAACATCTGTATCTGTAACGATAATTTCCATCCTATCTCACAGATAAATTCTAACCAAAAATGGGGTTCCTAATAGTTAACAGGATCTACAGTCCTCTTGAAGACACTTTGTCTAGTACATAGACATGTATGACAATGATATCTCAAGAGAGACCTCGTATGGTCACGGTATGTCATGCCAACTATTGTGTATCAGACGCCACGGGAATTAACATGACTATCCACTCTAGTCTTAGGTGAACACTGTCCTGGGTAGTGGGTCTTTTACCTCATAGTAACATTCTACCCAACTTGAAAAACCAACAAATCCAGCACAACATATATTCAAAATAGTGGAAAACAATAAATGCAATGCATACAATAAATTAATAGCACGTAAAGCATAAAGATAAACACCCAAAGAAAAGAAACAAACAAAGTTAAGATTGACCCACTTAGAGATGTTTCCCCAGTAAAGTTGTCAAATTTCTGAAGCGGTAAACTTGAGATGAAGCCATTGATTGACTTAACTCACTAAGTGAGAGTCTCCACCAAACTTTATTGTTCCAAAAAGGAATGAGAAAAGATCGAATAAACCCAAAATAAAAGAGAGATCAAGATACGGGGGTAGGTTATACAAAGGGAAGGTATTAGCACCCTAAACATCTGTTATAATCAACGAGATCCACTATGTTTGTTCTAATCAAAGGGTGTGTTATCTAAAGCTTAAACTTGCTAAGGGAAAATGCACGAATGAAATTATTTACAAAAAAAAAAGTTATTTATTAATGCGCCCACTGCAGTTGCGAACCTTTGTGCCTACGTACCCTCTTCGTGCAATGAGAGATCAGGGCACTCGTAGTTCACCTTGAAAATTTTGGTTGGTTTGTATTTTTTAATGAACAATATTAAGCTTCACATTCTACTGCAGCTCGGCCTTTGGAGACTCACGCATTTGTCATAGAAAGGAATTAACATGTTATTGCCTGAAAAGGTTTTCAAAAGAAAAGCCCGAAGACAAAAAGGAGTTTGAATTGGTTGAGTATTTTGCTAGGAAATCCCTCAAGTGGTCCCCGGGAGTACTTGAATCCATTTCCTTTAAGTTTTGAAAGCGTTTGATACATGTATCATGCTAAAGTCGATGACATGAAGACCCTTGGATGATCGAGTCAGATGCCTCAGATTCGAAGTCCTCTTCATGTACTTAAGGCTCGTGACATATTACATGTATCTTTACTCATTAAGTGTTTTGGGTTTTTGATAAGAAAATGTTTTTTTTTGTGTTTTAATATGTAAGGAAAAAAAGAAAGAGAAAAGGACTAAGGGAAACTAATCATAATGTTGTCATGCACAACGGATCTAGTGTTGGCATCAAGGGAAATCTATCTAAAAGTTAACATGCATGGTTTACAAGCCTAAGATCTAAACCAAAGCAGAAATACAATTGGCAACATCAAAGTGAAAAGACTTATTAACAAGATGGGACTCAACTCCACACAAGACTCAAGACGAAAGGAAAAGACTCAAGAGTGAGACAAATCAATTCCTAACTACACAAATACAGTGCCTACAAAGGTAGGACTTCAACTCATGGCATCTCTATCGTACTTATCATGGCAGGATTAATTAAAAACTATGTAAAATGAGGAAGTAAAGAGAGCTTAGATGATACATAACGAAGAAGTTTCGTTGCCTCTTCAAAGTCATGCAAGCGATAAGAAAAATCTACGGAAGCTTCTCACAAGTGATCAAACAAACTAATCCTCAAGCGCTTAACATCACAAATCAACATGTCTATTTTTTTTATCACATTTTCATCTCAATTTTATGCTATCAAAAATTAATGAAAAGAAATTTTCAAAAAAAAAAGCAATTGAAAAGAAATTCAAATAACCCAAACAGAAGGGGTGTGCAAAGTCTGAATTAGATGTGTAGTGCAGAAATTGGTCCTAGGGCCAACCAAAACTATCCATGAAGAGATTTTTTACTGAATAATCTCCAGGCTGAAAAAACAAGTGCTAATGGGCCCGAAGAGAGCATGGAGTTCGGCCCAATCCAATAGCATGACCATCACCATATTTTTATTCAGGATTTTCAGTTAAAATAACAAGAAAAATTAATAACAAAACAAGGAAAGCATGTGAAACGAAGGGTTTTGATAAGAAAGAGATATGGTTATGCTATAGTTATGACTGTTAAGCTTCCACGAGACTCTTTTCTCAACCACCGCAGAACATCCTCTTTGATTTCCATTGCTCGAGCCTACATCTCAGGCTTCGTCTTCTCTCACAATGAAACTACGTCTGCGCCACAGATTCTAAAGAGCAATTCTGTTATAAAGCAGTGAAAATTTTGTTACAGTTTGGAGCTTGTCATCCCTTGGATCGAAAGTTGGTTACCGAAATGGAGGGTGTAGATCGAATCTCAAGTTCCTTCATCTTTTCTGTTATGGCATTTTATTGTGAGTTCTTTTGTGAATCTCATGCTGACTTGGAGATTTTTCTGAACTGTTTTATTTGATTTTGCAGGAGTGCAGTTTGTATCGTGAACTGGATTTGTAATATAATGCAGACCACTGTTTAGCATGAATCAGGGCAGTTTTGGATTGGTTTATGGATTGCAGGTTGGGCTTGCACGATTTAAGAGCAAGTCAAAAGAATTAAAATGAAGCTTGAAGATTAGGTGTAGGCTTAAGTATAGAGCAAACATCTTGTGTAATGGTTTCCATATCTTTTGTAAATTCTTATGCTTTTTTGATGCATCCTTGTAATAACTTTGTAATATAAATACAACCTTGCGCTTTTGAATCCAAGAGATGAATCCCTAGTATTCAATGTAGTCCCTTAAAAGTTCCTTTTAATTTGTGTTTTTGAATGGAATGATGTAATGATGGTTTTGAAGTGGTACTTGAAATAGCATTGTATACTTTTAGTTCACGTAAACTTGAAACCATATTATTCTTGAGATCAAGGATCAAAATCACTAAACATTTGGTCAAAAAGATTGCATTTTAGCAACTTTAACCAAGTCTAGGATCATATCCATCGTGTATAACAACTGTCAACCCAAAAGCATGCATGCCATATTTGAAGCACAATGAACCTTCATATGTGTTTGCACTCAAAGATCTTGACTGAAGAAGTAGCTTGTACCACCTCTGCCAAATGCCTTGAACATTCGTCTGATAACCTTGAGTATGAGGGATAAACCCTAATCAATGATCTGGATGAGTTTGGAAGAGGGAATAACCCTTGTATCTTGAAGAGAAAGAAATCTATAACCATGAACTAAAAACCCTAATTCACACTTCAATGCTCAAGGAAGAACCATATGAACCAGTCTTGTTTGATATAAAGCCTCAAACCAAAAGAAGACCTTAGCATGTAATATCTTTGATCCCATGCCAAGTTTATTGACTTAATGATGCATAATTTATGATGCGAATAAGTATGATGCTATGAATAGGCATATTAGGGGTAAAAATGGGGTATGACAAAAACCTCTTCAAGTTACTAATTCAAAAGAGAATGAACCTCTGATCCCTGCATTTTTCTTCTGGGCCATGAACAACCTCCGTAGATCTCAAAATCAAGAGTGTTCAGAGGCGAGCATAGAGATATACCGCCATTGACACATGGTATAACCATTTCTATCACAATTCATTGAGTTCTAACCCTCGAGCTCCTCGAGAAATCTGCAGAGTAGCAAAGGAAGACTCTCAAACCTAGATCTAGGATTACACCAGGGTCTAAAGATAATTTCCATGAATACCAAAGGTTGGAGCTCTTACCGAGGCGACACCTTCAAGATACCACAAATTCGTATTTAATGACGCTTAGATACTGCAAGTTCATAGTTAATTCCAGGTGTCGGTCGAGCATCTGGGTTCATCATGGAGATGCCATAGGATTTCCATGTGATGAACTAGGGTGTCCATCGACTATATCATAGAGTAGGGGTCTACCAAGAGAGTTAAAAGAATGATACATTTGATCTCAATTGCAACGATACTGGTATGCATCAGCATTCGACTGCCTCTCAATATTCCTGTTCTAAAAGGAAGACTGAGCATGCTTATTAAAGAACTCAGGGATCTACTTGGAGTGGATACTCATTCGAAATAGGAAGAAGGTTGGGGAATCCCAAATTCAGGGAGTGAAAAAGTGATTCATCGAAGCATCAGACAGTGCAACTCGACGAGCCTAAAATCAAAGGTTGACCCTAAGAAACTCCCCGGATCCGTCGACCTACTAAACATGCAATCGGAGAGCAAAAGCGAGCAAAATACCTCGCCACCCGTCTAACTCAAGGAGATGCCTTTAATGGGAAGAGACATGCACCAAAGACCTTGGACATCATCCATTGAAGAATTCGTTTTGAAGCACTAAGTGCATCCATCCCGGATCCTTAGAGAAAGACAACAACCAAAGACTCCAGATACCATTCAGCCACTCCGATGATTATTTATTTATTTGTAACAAGTTCAATTCATTATATATATATATATATATATATATATATATATATATATATATATATATATATATATATATATATATATATATATATATATATATATATATATATATATATATATATATATATATATCAGTTTATCTCTCATTTTCTTTAGTTGTGTTCTTTTTTGTTTCTTTCTGCTAGGATGCTCGGGGTAAAGGAGAACAAAGATAAACTGTATGGATGTGTTTCTTATACGGGCTTAACGCACATATGCAATTATGATACATGTTAAGTTTATTGCGAGCTCGTTGTTTTTCTGATACGAACTTAACACATTTATGTGATTCCTATATGGCTTAAAGCACACTTTACGCTCGATAGTGTAGTTATACTGACTTAACACAATTCCACGATTTTGATACGGTTTAAACACATCGTGTGCCTAATTGTGTATATGATACAAACTTAACACAATTCTTCAATTATGATACGACTCAAATTCACACCTCACTTTTGAGGCATATTAAACAGGCTTATGTATAGTTGGTGCACCCCTCCTCAGATCTAGCCAATCCTAGGACATACGCAGTGGAGCCTGGAGACGCCCACTTCAATTCGAGCAAAGCCTCAGGGGCAGCGATAGAGATCCTACTCTTCGGCGAGGAACAATCATCTGTGACACGAAGCGTAGTTCAAAATATGATTGCATAACCTCAACTTTGCTGATTGCATGCATCGCTCGGGAAGTGTAAAAAATTGCCAAATGTGATATATGTATATTCAAAAGGCAATACACTATTACGACAAACGCTAAAGACAATGAAAAAATGTGGCAACCAAAAACGGTCTCCAACATTATTCAATGTCCCAAAGCAAAAGAACAAGGAAAATTCTAGAGCCATATATGCCATCTCATTACAATCAAATATAATGCTTCTTTCCTAAAGAAAATAAATAAAGGCGTTCATGCCCGCAATAAATATTCCACCAGCACCGATGAATATATATGGTCTGACTTTAATTCTAAAGTAAATAAAGATGTTGCACATAAAAAGATCAAGCCCAGATCTATAGAAAGCCGCGAGATATGATAACATTAAAACAAAATCCAATAATAAAGCTCTACAACAAATATCACTTGAAACATCAAGGTAAAATATTCCATCAAATATCAAAATTTATTACACCCAAGGCACAAAGGCCTGAAAAACAGTGTAGGAAATAAATAATAGAAACAAAAAGGAAATCAAGTCGAGGCACCGTGACCACCTCCTTGAGTCACCCCAGGAGCAGACATAAAAAGATCTATCACCTCAGTATAAATTACATCATCGGGGCATAACTTCCTTCCATGTTCCACCACTTGTTTTTGAACTTCGAGCATATTTTGCATAGCACGTTGAAGAGTATCATGGAGTTCCCTCCTTAGATGGGCCACCTCGTCTTGGAGGACTTTCAGAGCCTCTGCATCTTTTCGGTACTCATCCACTTGAATAGCCTTCTCCTCAACAGAGTTGAAAACAATATCATACTGATCCTATACATCTTTGAGGGCACCCTCCAATCCAGTCATGCAGAATGCAACGGTAGAAGAGAAGTCATGTACTTTCACTTCCTCATGCTAAGAGTGAGCATCTTTAACTTCCTCCCACAACACAAGAAGCTCTTTCTAAATATTGGTGCTCTTCGACTTGCTTTGGCCTTACCCTTCAAAGTATTCTTCTCCTTGAAGAGAATACTCGGGGCCAGAACGTCACCCTTCTAGCACAGACAAGAGAAAAGATAGAAGTGGCTTTAAACATGTTGTGAACAACGTCGATACAATAGCAGCAACCTCATCAAGAGTGCGTGGAAGTAGATAAGATAAAATGTTTGGTACATTTATAAAGGAGTTACCTTCTCTGAATCATTGTCCTTAATAGAGTGAGTCTGTTTTGGAGAAGCCTCAACCCGAGGATATTGTTATTCCTCATCTCGAACCCTTTTGGTAGAACATGGGAGAGATGTTGGTTCCTCCACTGTTAAAATGGTCACAACCTCCGTAAGATCCACCTCGTGCATAAGAGCTAAGCTTCTATAGCTGAGGTAGGATATAGAACCAAAGAAGATGAGGGGGCACAAGATATTTATTCACCATGGACGAAATACCTTGGGCATCAGCAAGGCTCTGAAACATCTTCAACTTGCTTATTTTATCAATGCTATATGCAAAATTCAATTATGCATGTTAAAAAATATGAATACTCCTCCCTTACCAAAGACCCCTTTCCTCTCTTCAGGATTAACTACACTCAAGATAGAGTGGATATTGATTCTCTTCTTCTTTACTCCAGAAAAGGGAACCTCATCTGGACCAAACTCGTCCTCATAGCTAAGTCCTTAAAAACAAGACTGCAGTTTCTCCTTCATTGTTACCTAGTCCAAAGAAAGATGGCTCGGTTGGGTACAATATGAGCCAACACCCCATTTAAAGTGGATATTAGACCAATATTTTGGATATGAAACCTGATAGTATTGAGTAGAATCAATGGGAATATAGCAGAAAGCAAATGAGTTGTAGGGTTAAGGAGCTTCACCATGAGAAAACGTCTCAATAAATCGTCCCCGTCCAAAGTAAAATAGACTAACCAAGGGATGATCGGGTGAAGCTAACAAACCCTCTGGTTACAGAAGTTATTCGAGGGTGTGCGCCATGGATGAAAGAGATCCAAATATAAGCTAAGATAAGGCTTCTAATATTTGTACTCGGTGCATAACTCAAAGACCCTCACATATGCCCTTAACCCCGAATGAAGCTGAGAAGGGGAAATATTCAAAATTTTAGGATTGCTACCTCAAATTAAGAAAAAGGAAGCCAAAGTCCTATACTTGTAAACAATCACTCATGGAACGAGACCATGTAGTTTTCAAAAGACATATGTATCCTCTTTTCTCATGGTACTCGAAGAAGAAACCACTCTAAAGGGTCACCGATCATAATGTTAGAATTACTTAGGGCAACCTTAGTGCTTATAATTGAGAAATTACTAACTACTTTTACATCATAACATTTAGTCGGACACAAATATTTAAGTGCTATAGCACCCCAACATCATTAGGCTCGCAAACTTCAATCCGTAGACAAACTTCAATAAAATCTCTAGCATGTTCCCTCCTTTGGAAGTTGCATCATACCTCCTCTTTTTTCAAGGTAGGAGAGGAATAAAAACCTCGGCGTGAGTGATCCTTATTCCATTATTTGATATGAGGGAGTCTAACGATCCATAAAAAGATGTTTCTTCCTATAAAAAAGTCTCAAACATCCTTTCTAACCCAAAATCGTCAGATATGTAGATAATGTATGGTCTTTGTGATCACTGTTGTAGGAAGGATGATAAGTATCATAGGATAACTCAAATAAAGTTTCCACTTCTGAGCCACTAACTAAAACAACAATACTCACACTCATCCTCACTAAGGGAACGAGAAAAGTTAAATGTAAAATTGGAGTTAGATGGGTACCTGATTGTAGGAGATTGATGAAGCAGGAAGAATGAAGAAGGAAAAAGTTTTAAACAAAGATCTGAATCACTTCTAGTGATGTTATCAAGGAAGAAGGGATGAAACATTTTTATGGAAAGTTTTGTACCCCAAAATTTTCCCTCCCATATTTCTTAAAACATTGCGAGAAAAATCTCCAAGTTGTTCAAGGTTGCTCAAGAGTTGGTCAAGACAAGCTATCTCCTAAGGCAGTCTACTCCAAATTAGGGTTTTGTGTTGCATCAAGATCTTTGAGTCCAAATGACCTCAAGTTATCCCCAATGTCCTAATATGTTCTCAAGATCATCCATGTCATGTTTCAAGCCTTGCAGAGGAAGTTTGTTCAGTCGAATTGCTCAAAGGTCCAAAAATCGACCATGCTAGGGCAAAAGTCAACTGTGACCTACAAACAGTCAAACCTCAAGATTTTTTGTCAACATTCTCATTTTTAAGGATATTTCATCATTTGATCAAGGGTTGATCATGATTCATCAAGGATTGCTCAAAATTCATCAAGATTCTAAAGTTGCTAAATTAGGGTTTTGCAGGAAAAGTCAACTCAACTTTGACCAAGCATAACTTTCTCATACTTTATGCGAAATGACCCATCCAAAGCTAATTTTGAATAGGATGAAATTTCCTACAATCCATATTCATACCCAAAGTGAAAAAAATTCACTCACAAGAAGTTATGGATTTGAACATTATAGGTCATTTTGAAAAGTCAACAAAAACACCTTTTTTTGCCAAAGCTTATAACTTGAGCATGGAATATCAAAATGAAATTATACTAAAGTTGGTTAGAGGACATCTCAATATTTCTAAAAAGTCCAAGAACACTTCCAAAAGTTCAAAATTGAAGAAGTTATGCATTGTTGAAGTTGGACTTCTTTGCAAAATTGCCAAAAGTCAACTATCCCCAAAACTTCAAATTTTTCCAAATGGGCCCATTCTTTTCCACTTGATTTGAGTTTGCATAATTTCTCGCGTGCCCTAGCTCCAGCCATGTGCCCATATCTCCTTTTATTATTTGATTTGATTTTTATTTGAATTTATTCATTTTAAATCAAATAAAATCATATAAAATCCAAGGCATTGATAACTTATGATTTTTTGATTGTTTTAGGCTTTGGTCACAGCTAGCCTTGCAATAAAATTCGCATCAAAGGCATTGGTTACAAGAATATATGATTTGGACTGAATTTGGAAAGGTTTTCATGGAGAATCAAATCAAATATGCAATCATCATTGGAGCAAGATTTGAACCAAATTTGTTACCCTAATCCAATGTGCATTACATAAGCAAGCAAGGCATAAGAAAATCAGGGTTGGCAAGCATTGGTAGAGGCAGAACAAAAGTGAGAAAAATCACAAAAAAGTGAGAGACCAAAATCAGGGTTAGAGGTGTTTTCAAGGATCAAGACTTGTCCCAATCAATTCCTGGACATTCACACAAGCTAACTCGATCAAAACCACGCACCCTCAGGCCTCCAAACGCACTGTAAGTCCCACGCAAACTGCCCCTGTTCTTGATTTCGATTGGAATCATTCTGGCATCTATTGAACAAACTAATAGCATATTTTGAATCTACAAACCATTTGTAAGCGTTTGGTATCATTCAATTGCATTTATCTACCCTGTATAGAAAATCACCATAGCTAGGGTTCTTCGTTTGCTTTTAGGATTTTCTGTTTCAGGTAAAATTGAGACACAAGAAGAACATGGTTTTGATCAGGAGGCCATGACGAACTGAACCATGTTCTTGGAATGTATTTATATGGCCTGGAGAGAATTTTAGAACAGGGCTGCGCTTTTAGCCGCAGATTCAAATCCGCAAGTATTTTTTACAGGTTTTGGAGGACAGGGATGAATTCGTGTCATTCGTCCATTGGGTGATTCAAAATAGCGCGCGTTTTATTTTTTTTCTGACCATTAATTCTTGTTTTATTATATCATTATTTGTTTGTATTAATATAACAAACAAGGCAGCGGGGTGTAGTGGCAAGTGAACGGTTCATCCTCTTTCAGGACCTGGGTTCGAATCCCAGGTCCCCTTCTTTCTCAATGTTATTATTTTTCAGATATTCCAGTGTGCTCTCAAGCTTGCAATCCACCATATGCCATCACCAATCCAAGCGCCAGATGGCCAATGGCCAGATCTGATGGCCAAGGATTGAAGGTCCACCAAGGCGTCAGTCAACGCGTGAGCACCAGATCCACAAAGTCAAATCAGGCCCAACACTCCTCTCTCTTTTATTTATTTTGTTTTGTTTTATTATTTGTTTTATTTTATTTAATTATTTTTCTAACCAATCACAAAATTCTGTTTTCATCAAATAAAATCACAAAAAATATTTTTATTTTCAATCAAATTTTAAACTTTTATTTTTCTTAGTAAATTTATTAATTGATTAAGTTTTTAATTAGAAAACTTTAATTCATTTTTGTAAATAATTTTAATTAATTAGACTTAATTAGATATTAACCACTAACTTAATCATTTTTTAATTTCTTTCCTAAATAATCAAAACTCCAAAAAATAATTTATTTTTTTCATTTAATTAATTAATTTAATTTAATATGGTTATTTAATTTAGGATTAGTTTCTTTTCTTAAAATAAAAACAACAAAAAAAAGTATCTTCTTTCAAAAGGGTCAAAACCCTAATCATGCGTCCGATTTAATTTTGCATCGTGATTTACTTTTCCTTATCCAATTATGTATCTGCTTCCAGATTGTAATAGTTAAATAGGACATTTAATTATTTTTATCGCTTTACTTTATTTTTCAAAAGGGTTTGTCTTTGGCGATGTAAATACCCGACGCCTTGTAATTTAAATTCCCATTTTATTTCCGCAAATTATAACTGCTAGATGTTTGATAATAGGGTTTGCATGACAAGACTGAATGTTAATCTTAAAATCATATTAGATCACCTTTAACATGTACAAAGATAAAAATAACTGAAAACAATACACTCGCACATGCGCACTCTTAGGGTACACCCCACTTGGTTGCCTTCGTACGCGGTCATTGAGTATAGGTCGTTTTAGAGGCCGTCCTCTTGTCTAAAAGATCATAGTTACCTTGAAATGGTTGCCTCAAACAAATGATCTAAGACTTTAGGGTTACTGCTAAGGCGTCCTAACATTGCTTAGGTGACGTATGTCCCTCTTTCGAATTGACCCTCAAACTCCAACGACGGTGCTACCTACTCACTAATAGTGGGATAGCATTGTCTAAAGGAAACGAACATAGAACGATTCTTTTTTCGAGTAGGTAGATTAGTTCTTAAGTACTTGCTCATTCCAAACAAACTTTTTCTCACACTTACACTCTTTTACAAGCAAAATTTTTTTTCTTCAAAAAAACACTTCATTACACTCTTGAAGACAGAAGCAAGAGTTAAATCGAAGTTAAAACAAAAACTTTTCAAAGCCCACAAATACAAAG